GTTATACGAGTACAGAAAAACAACACATATAGCATAGCATTACTGATGAAATTAATGAAGGTTTAAAATGCTGCAGGAAAAAATGTGCCACGCCGCAATGTGTCAGACACTAATCTGTCAATACGCGACTAGACACCAAGAGTTCAAGTGTTCCAAAAAGAAGAAGAAGTGTGCAGAGACAGGATTACAACACGATTTCAAACCCAGCTCTTGATTTCGAACGCACAGGGAATAAACTTTAAAGGCCTGGTCCCATTTCGGAAGAGAAACTCTAATTGGAGGCAACAAGCGCCACTCTGGGTGTAGCATGAATTGAAATGTGAGAAAATATACCAACCATCATTAAAAACTATGAGAGGTTGCGGTGCCACAACAACTGTGCGATTCATCCGACGTCCAATCTGAAAATCTCTGTACATTCAAAACAAAATTGAGGCATGAAAATAAAAATAAAGTACTCGGCACTACATGGACCGTCAAAAATACTGATATTGTCAATTGATTAGATGAAAATTTTGCAATCAAACTTCAAAATAGCGTCAATTTCGCACAATCATTCTTGCTGCTATGCTCGCCTCATTTGTCCTAAACGAAGATTTACCGCCTGCTACTATCCCGCACATTGATCACCATTACCAGAGATACCTAATAATTCGAAATGCAGCCGAAAATATTAATAAGAACCTAAGTACTGTCATTTTCGCTAATGAAAGCTTCCTGCAAATTCGGCGGTCTGAGTCTTTCCAGCGAGTTGAGGAAGCGTTCCAGCATTCCCCCCCCCCTCCCCATTTAAACTCGGCCGGGTGGTTCTTAGAGCGGATTAGAAGCTTGAGGAACGTAGGCAATGCCCTCGGTTTCAGCAATGCGTGGTTAGATCCATAAATATTTTGCGGAAAAAACAACTTTGAAGTTCACTGCGTAGGAATCTGTGGCCATGAGTGCGCCCGACTCGTTACAGCTTATTTCGAAAAAGAGTTTTCAAAAACTCTCCATGCGTGAAGAAATTCTCGAAGCACGTTTAACCCGATTAAATAAGAAATGACATGCACTGATGGTGATAAGACCAAAAGGTGGTAGCCATGGCCACGTGAGTGGAACCACAAATCAACCGATTTCAGGCGAACAAAAAACAAAAGACAAGGTGCTGAAACACCAGACGAGAAAAGAGAGCCAAGAGCAACACTTTCATAACCGCGTCGCACTCGTATCAAGAAAAAGTTGTGGGAAATATAGGACGAACCAACCGCAGGAAGCATTAGGATTTGAAAGGGTAGCAGATAATCAAAAGTAAAAAGAATTACACGCACGAGTAAAAACTAACGTTTGTTACTGTCACCATGCAGGGAGCGCAATACAAAAAAAAACGAGCAGTAAGGTCCTCGCTTTGCCTAATGAGCGGCAGCTGATTATAAAAACTGTTGCGTTCGAAAGTCTACTTGACAATTCTTTGCAAACAGCTTGATTACCTGTTCTCCAACAATGCTCAGTCTACCATGGAGTTCAAGTAGTTTTTGCTGATGGCCAATACGCTGACGCATCCACTCCAGCAGTCCACTTAATTCAGTTTCCAGATTTCGTATCTAGAAACAATGCCGATGAGGCTAAAATTTATCCACGGACAATTACAGAGTAAGAGAAGGCCAATAATATTGTCAAATGAAGTAACTGTCCTCGGCACAAGTTTGCAACTGCCGAGGAAGCAAGTGAAAGGCTTTGGTTTGAAAAACACATTTCATGACCATCAGACACAGGACGCTTATCAGCGAGGAAAGGTTTTGGTACGGAGCACCCAACATAGGCCAGGACCACGGAGATCTCTGATCGAAACTTGGAGAGTGAAATGAGCTCCGGGGAGCGTGAAACACTTCACATGGCTGTGAAATTCGGATTTTTGGCACAAGCGAAAATGTGCATCCACCCCGAGCTTATTTTTTAATGGCCTTAGGAAGCCTAGCTCAAAATTACCTTGAAACATCCACTACCAAAAGCGTGCAGACATTAGAAAAAACTCGACGAAATGGCGCGGAAATAAAGCTCATGACGCTTTGTAACTTCAATAGACTATTTTTACAAAAGTGACACTACCGTAGTCAATGACACTACCGATAGCAGCGCGAACTATTTAGTGTTTGTACTAGGAAAGCACTTTCCCCCACTGGGAGAAACGCCTAGCTTAGCCTCGAATCATTTAAACGAAAACGTGTCTGTGACTTTAAACTTATCTTACCGAACTCAGATAGGACGCATGAAGAGATAATATGCACTGTATCCACAAGATCCAAGGTTTTATACTAAAATAAAACAGTTTTTCAAAAGCCGACTCTCTGACATTACTGAAAATTCATGAAAAACTTATGAGCACTCACTTAGTTGCAGACCGACTGCTAAGTCTTTCGAACAAAGCTTTCAACAGAGGAACCACATGAGACACTTGGAGATCCAACAGTGTTGCCTGAATGCAATACAGATATCACAATAGCAATGAGTTGCTTGCGAAAAGTCATATTCAAGACAAAGAGCTCTGCTATACAAAAGAAATTCACAGTAAAACTCAAAAAAATCAAGAAATCGAACAAAAAAGAAAAATCACCTGTATGATCTCGACTCTGACCTCACGGAGAACGCTATCAAGCTTTATCACATCATTGGACATGAGACCTTGAGTGAGTTGAACTGAAAGAGAAGCACCACCAGACGTTTGCGGAGGTTTCTCTTCACTCTCGACCCTGAACACGAGATCTGTACTATGAATCCTGTGCAATCTGAAAGCGCAACAATCCTAAAGAGTGAAATCTCTTAGACCGACCGTTGCTGCTCTGCGAGTTGGCCCATTGTAAGAGGCTTAGCTTCTTTCCTTTTGGTGTATCACCAGCCTTAAGATGCTCCTTCGATCGCAAAGCCTCAAAAAAAATGTAATACTGAAATCTACTTGTTTCAGACAAACAAGCGACTCAAGGAAGTACTAATAGAGTTGATTTCTACTGAGACAAATTGTAATTGCTGTCTTAGAACCCGACTGGCCTCCATCGCAATGAAGCGACGCGCATGCGCGGTCAAGAAATTGGCACACGCACGCCAACACTATGCGCGTAGAACCATTCATTCCATCTCCTTGTGATTGCTTCCTTCTGCTCGGTCTCGATTATTAAGATCATACATCAGCATACATTATAATACTACAGGGCAGCAGAGTGGTCAAATATCCATTGATTTAGCGAAGATTTTCCTGAACGCAAGAAACTTCATTTCAATTCTTTCCTAGTATTCCTTTCACTGTCGTAAACATTCACATGAAAGATTGTAGAAGCAGTTAATACAAAACTCTGTGAGTTTCAAGATATTTTGTATTGATGGAAGAACTTAGGTATAAATGCTTTTAACTTCATTCGCAGCGAAAGTGATGTTTTTTTGCTTCTTCGTGGTCATTATGCGTTCTTCTGAACAAAAATGATACTGCCATTTTATCCTTAACCGAAATAATTCTATGAGATTCAAGTTGTTGTGCATTTTAAACAAAAAATAAGCGGAAGTAAGGTGAGGACGGCGCGCTCGCAAAATCGCTCCTGTCCCACGCGGTGCAAAATGCCAAAACACGCGATGTCGTCAACGTGTTAATCAAAACGCAAACCCAGTTTCGATTGGCCTTCTACCAAAACCAACGAGTGTTGTTCGATACCCCTCAAGGATTAGGTGGGAGCATTATATGCCTCTTAAATGCAATACGGACAGCGCTCCCCATTCAATTTGCGTTATATTGGTTGAGCACATTAGAGTCATAAACAGTTATGATGCACCTGATTAGGGAAACCAGTCTGAGATGCACTATACACAGTGTTCACGATCGCCCCAAAGAAGCCGTGAGACACGAATCTCGTAAAAAAGAGAGCTAGCTACAGGCATGTTTCGTAGGCTCACTAAGGGACATAGGTACAAGTGATCCTCTTGCAATATTTCACATGCGGCATAGTGTCTTTCGCTGAGACAGAAAACAGCTTTTCCGCCTTTTGCGGCGTGAAACTTTTTTCGCTGCGGGATCCCTAGGTCCACCACTAATGAGGGTGGACCTAGGGTACTTGCCGAAAAAGTTTCGAGTGCAATGAGCAAAGAATCGCTTTTCGCTTCGAATCGCACCCCATGCGGAACAAGTAGAACCCAGATGGGCGAAAATGGAGTTAGAGGGGGAGGCACTGCCATACTATTCCTAGTACTGAGAAACACTCTTTTGGGCTCTCTATCACTAAGGATAAAATAAAGAGGACTCATTTGTGCGTACTTTTGACAAGAGCTGATGAGTGTCCTATCTACACACCTTGCCCACAGAATACCCAACTGTTGCACCTGGCCTCGCTCTTAAGCCTGGACAGGGATATCCATTGCCCTGGTTCAAGACGATTTCCTTGAAATATTAGAGGCCCAAATCTAAAATTGCATTACTTCTACACTACACCCGTGCTTATCAAAGTGCATTTCAAATGAAT